CAGGGCATGAATTAAAAACTGGTGTCGGGGGATTTCAAAAAGAAACACAAGTCTTGCAGAGACATCCTCAAGCTAATTCGGTCAAGAGATTTTCATGACTGGGTAAAACAGTACGAGGAAAAGGATGCAGCTCCTGGCACAACCTTCTTGTGAATGGGAGCTGACTTCTAAATAAGGCCCGAAAAATGCCTTAGCCCCAACTGACCGTAATTAATAAAAGTAATATATTAAAGAAACAAAGAACACTGTCAAATTGTCCTCCCTGACTGCCATGCGCTTTACCCCACCGTACTTCCTGTTTCCAGAATACCAGCCTTGGCAGCCATTATTGCAAGAACATTATCTATGGGATGCAAAACCAAAGCACTTCTTGAAATCAAATGTTCCTCACAACATTTATTTTTAGGTTGGCAGCACAAGCCAAATCTGCTTAATTTCCATTAACCACATCGTCACATGCACATCAAAATAAACTATGTGGGTCCCAGGGGGAAAAAAAACAAGTGTCGTGTATAAGACACCCCATATTTGGCCAGGTTTCCCTGTTTCAGGAATCTGTCTCATCTCATGGCCCGCTGACGTTCTAGCTTCGGAACCTCTAACCTTAATTCAGCCAAGCACCAAGAAGAGAAAGATTTTTAAAAATCAGTTTAAGATGGTTCCTTGGATGGCACACGTATGGCAAAGTGACTCACAGACCAGTGTAACAAGGCACAGGAAAGATCGTTTAGCAATCACACCAGCCCAACTTACTTGGCTTGGTGGCTTGATTTACAAACTCAGTGTTTGATCACCTGGTGGGATTACTACCATCAACTAAAGAAAAAAAAAAATCCCCTACAAATAGTAAAAGTCCATGTTGGCTGGTGTATAAAGTTCACCTGTCTATTCAGCAGATGACTCTCTTAAGGTTATTTTCTTTAGAAGACAAACCCCTACTTGCTGGAGACCTTTATATACTCTAGGTCCAAAAAACATACTTAAAATACAAGAACAATACTGCTGGCTTAGCAAAAATGACATTTACTATGACGGAATTCTATAAAAGGAGTATGACACCTAACAGGATAAGAAAGGCAAAGAAAAAGCCCTAAGCAAAAAAATTTCTTTGAGAAACAAAAATACCACCTGTGCAAATCTAGCTATGCGCCGGAAACCCCTTTCCAGCCATAGAGAACCAGCTCCTGCTCGGTGCCTTGAAGCTGCAATTAAATTGTAGTAATTTAAGATTATCGGGAGAGCAAAGGGCAGTAGGAGCTCTTTGGAGGGCTTGCCTCCCCACTTAATGCTCTTCAGTCAGGGGTTAAATGAGTTTCTTTAATGTAAGTACCTTAAAGTAACTGAATCATAAACAAAATTTATACTATTTTCTGACAGCCTGCAATCTATTTAAATTTTATTAACGGGTACCTAAGATTATTTTTAAAAGACAGAATCCTTGCAATGCCCTGTAAATATTCGTGGCATCCCCACCGAAAACTAATCGGTACTTTATAACACCTAAATTGAACACACACACGTTTGTGGGATGCAGACTCTTTACAAGATAACATTTCAAAAGTGAGTTTGCATCTTAAGTAAAACCTGAAAACCAAATCAACAGCACAATAAGGTTGGCTGCAAAGAGGAAGCTGGGTTCAAAATAAGTTGTCACATCGGCTCTATACTCGCTTCTCTTCCTTTATGTTGGCATTGGACGTGGGGGGTATAAACATATTTGGTGAGGAAATATCACAATTCTTCTGTTAATTTAAACAACTGCTGAGAACAGACCTATCCTTCAGTAGAGCCTCCGAATGCAAAGGCCGGGGCTAGCGTCTTAAGAGAAGCAAGGAAGCAAGGAAAAACTTAGTAACAGAAAACCATGCCCAGGCTCAACATTAACCCAGTTAACTTTTGTTATTGTTGGTACAAATGATTTAACTAGAAAGTATTTACAGCTTTTTAAAAAACATTACATATTGCAGAAAATTGCCTAATAGCATCCATGTGTATGTTTAACTCACATTGTTTAATGATACAATAAAAGGTATATCCAATAAAAGCTACAGACTTTGAAACATGTTGGGCACTCTGGTTATGAAACTCTGACTTAAAAAAACACAAAGTGCTTACTATGTGATTGACATTTGTTCCTTACAAATGCAATCCTTCAATGACAATTATTCTTCTCTGTGTTTAGTTGTCCCTTTTCCTACTTTGTTCTACTTAATTTGAAATGACATTTAATTTGGGGATAGTTTATAGCTTAAAAAAAAAGTGTTACACAGTTTATACTCCAGCATTTAAATATAAACACAAAATCTTTCACAGGTCTCCAGCAATACAACCCCCTTAATTTGAGGCAGTTAATTTGAAAAGCTGATGTTTCTTTCATTATACTTTGATAAACCTGTGAAAACAAACAGCTAAAGTAATTACTGTTACTACTCCCTTTAAAAATGTAAAGCAGTTAAATTTTCCTAGACAACAAGCAAGGACAAGTTACAGAGAACTTGAATAAAAGTAGCAACGTGGTCATGCTGAATGTCAATCTAAAAAAAGAGGTTATGTCTAATCTGGAGAATGCTCCCTCTCGCCTTTTTAAATTCCAAGAGTGGGCTGACACAAAACTTCCATCACCAGGGAATTTTTTTTTTGATTTTTTTTTTTTTTTTTTTTTTG